TTTCGTAGAAGATTAATTAAATTATATATAAATTCTATTTTTATAATAATAAAAATTCTAAACAACATATATATCTCAATATTGAGCTGAAATCGGCGACATGTCACTGGAAGAAAAATAATTTCCGAACCGGGAAGCTCATACGGCACTGTGATGATGCGCAGCACGCGCCGTTACGCACGAAGCCCGCGGCGAATGTGATTCAAGCTTGTGTATATGTACCCGAGCATTAAAGAGATCCCACCGCGATATATAAATGTCGCGCGGTATATTCACACATTGTTCACGATTTTGCCGGCGTCGTTGGTTTCTCGCGGTTCGCAGTTCTGGACTGACCGATATTCTTTGCCATTGTACTCGAGAGAAAAGTCACGGGAACAACGAGAAGTAGTGGCTGCTGGATCAGCCGAACCAGATCAGCTATATCGTAAACGAGGAATAAGCGAAAATTGGAAAGATGCTCCGACTCACCAATTTGTCGAGGGTCCGTTTCTCACGGTATATATGTATATCGATAAGTTAGAATTAATCTTACGGTCGATTTCTTCAAGGAAAGTTAATTGCGTCTGTAGCAGGGATTGATATTGGTCAGTTGAGATCTTCGATGCTGTGATTTATTCGTAACAATTAATGTATTCCACAGTATTAAAAATTGATCGAAACTACACTGTTTTCAATCTTTGATCTATAATTAATTGCCAGCTATTTGCTTCTTTCTTATAGCCGGTATAATTTAGTAAGAGATAAAAAAAGTAATTATCGCATCTTAAAATGATAAGTTTTCTTTTTTAAGAAATAATTTCAGACATTTGCTGTGAAACATACATTTATCATTTCTCAAAGAATTAACATGCCACATTTTAAAACTATGAGTTGCATTTTTGTAAACTTATGGTTATTCCAAATTGTTATAGATTTAATTTTGAAAAATAATTGATTATTTTATATAAATATATAAAATGTTTATCGACTCATTTAGCTACATTTAATTAATAAATTATATTTTTTTTAATAGCAGGAGTTGTCGTTTTTTAAAAACATACTTGATTATTTTAGATTTGTACTGCGCGCATGTACGATTCGTCCATTTTATCATCATATAATGATAGATTCACATTTACACATTAAAAAGTGCAGTCAAATATTATTCAAAATTCGGTACGTGTCTTATGCGTGTGTTTCACTCACAGCCAATGAAGGCAGTTTTTGATTTTCGTGCTGAACAGAAAATCAGAAGAGAATGCCATGCGGAAAGCCAAAGACGAGCGTATTAAAATCACGGCGGCTTTCTTCCGCATCAGTTTCGACGAAGAAGATAGCGAGAAGGAAGACGAGAAGGAAGCATCGCAGATAAAAGAATCGAAGAAAACATTTTCACAGGCATCTGACGATGGCTTGATAAGAGCTAGAAAAAAGTCTAGCATCCCAAGAGCCGAAATTTCTTCAAACTTAGCCGCATCCGACCCTGAATTTTCGCCTTCCACATCGCACGTGCAAAATTGCGCTTTTAAATGCTTGCAGTCATCGAGCTTGAATAATGCGGACAAACACTCGATCTCAGATTATAATACTTCAAGAAAAGAATATAATAAAGATAGCGAAGCGATTTCGAAAATCGAAACGCAAAGACTGACAGTACCGATAGCGGATTCCGACAGAGTCGTCTCCGAACACAAGACTTTCATTCACAAGGACTCATCAGCAAAGTTTCAACCTTCACCGATCGAAGAAGCGAGCACTCATACGAAATCAATTACTATAGACAAATCGAGACATTCTGAATTGACATCAAATTGTTTGGAAATTCCTCCAGTGACTTCAAAAATCACTGAATATAAATTTTGTCTTCCAAAATTATCAGAGCAGTCGACTGGTGAAAACGCTCAATCAGATATCAGGAAAGTACATAAGTCAGTGCCACGGCCTTTAGTGACAACCACCGTGCAAGATAATCTCGACGAGATATCTAGCAAGAACGGCAGTCGCAGGTCAACGTTACCGATGACAAGCGCGGATTTGAGCCAGTCCCCCTTTCACGAGAAGAACACTTCGACCACTCAAAAATTTCCGGCCTTCGAGGACATCCTGGCCGGGACTAGCGTGAACCCTATCCGGAAATTTAGCATCGCGAACGCGGCGATTTGTTCGAGTCTGGCTCCGAGTTTACTCGGGGCTATTCCGGGCGTGCCAAACTCCCTCTTACCGAATGGAGATCACAGGGACGGTAATTTGCATCGAAGTGCTACTTTATCGAACTTGTCAATCGCTTCTACCGCCATCAGCGACGATACTTCCATTGGTAGAACGCGTCGCGGATTGAAGTCATTCCTCCGTCTTCATATACCCAGGTCACATCCCGACACGATATGGCACGATGCCGACGAGGACTATCATCACCACTTGCACCATCACTATCAGCACGATCATCATCATCACGATCATCATCATATGTTCCCGCATATTCACGTACCCACCATCACCTTCACGGCGCCGGCCACCGATGGCACTGGCCGCAAGTTCAACTTCGCCATCCGAAGGCATTCGAACGCGGTTAGTGTGAACTCTTGGAGGTGCACGTCGTTTCTGTTGGCATTATCGTTTTTCCTAATATCTTTTGAGAGTCAGAGTCTGGCCAAACTTTAGCCAAATAAGCTTGATGTAAAATATGTTGTTTCTTCGATTGGCAAAAGTGCTAACAATGAGCAGTTTAATACAACATTATTAACAACTAAACAATAAAAATGGACTAATAACATGTAAGTTTACTTTAATGAGGTCGTAACAAATTGTGAATTTACTTTCATTTTATAGCTCGGAGCTTTATATAATTAGTGAGTAAATTAATTAGTTAACTTTAATGCTTATGGAAATTATTCAGAATAACTAGATGTGTTAATATATTAAACAAAGGAATATTAAAACTCTTTACTGTAATTTTACCAAATATAGTGAAGCCACCACAGCAATGGAAATCACATGTCACATTGGCCAGACATTGACGTGAGTGTTTCTATAACACTACATTAATCTGTATTCGCGTTCTGTTTAAAATAATTCACGCTTTAGTTGACACGCCTAATTAAGATCGACACTATTCGAGTCGAAATTATTTGATAACAATACTTTCATGTGGACATTATTGCGGATAATAAAAGTAATTGTTATAATTACTACGAAGGTCGACGACAATAGCGTTGACGTAACTTGGACTTTTATCTTATCGGAATTATTGCTTAGATATTTATAGTCAGAGAATAAGATTAATCCGCAAGTAAGAATCGCCTAATGTCACGATCAATAATCTGCTAATTATTTCAGATAACAAGTGTCTGTCTAATTGAATGCGACTGAATAACTCCGTTTACGAGATATTGAAATAAATTTACAAATAAAGAAATTAAATTTTTCTAGAAATATCTATAAAGTTCGAAAATATAAATATTCAAAATTTCGTACGACAAGATTGTATTTTATAGGAACTCTTTAACTGTTTATAATTCTAAACCTTTATCACTATTTTTTAATTTAATGACGCGTAACTCTATGCCTGGCAAATAATCTAGTAAATCTTTTATGTATCGTAGATTTACATTTGCGGTTTTATCGATTATTAATTCAAAAAAACATTCTAGTCCTATATATTTAAGAAAATTTTGGAGACACTTACGTAAGGCCTGTTGCCATGTGCGTACATATAGTATAATGGAATTTTGCCTGACTCGGTTCTGTCATCGATCTTTACGGCTGATGTTCGCGTTATATCCGCCGACGCTTGCGAATTAAATAAGTGACGCTTTTCCTGATGTAAAACGCACATCAGTATCATCCACTGTGGCATGTGTACAAGCCATACCACTGCCAACGATTTTAATGTGACAAAATCGACCGCATAAAGTAGAGCTGATCTAATGCACTTCTAACCGTGTGTGTATGTGTGTATGCATTTGCACGCTGCAACATCGAATTTTTACTCAGTACAGATTGGACCGTAGTAAACGAAGAACGGTGCGGTAATTCCCGAAAAATAAGGGATTCCCCAAGCATCAAGAAAAGATTCTTCTTTGGAATGATTCAGAGAAACGAAGATTGACGCGAGAGTACCTTTTAAAATTTTTATTTCACGCCACAAAAGAAGAGGATACACGGATTTATATATCTGTGACAAACTGCGCATCGCGAACTATCAATTCTGTTTATTTTCTTTAACTAGGTATTTATTCATTTTTTAAATCTAACACATGAAGTATTAATAGAGTATCGTATATATTAGTTTATTTATATATATAATTAAATTAACTTGTAAATATTCTTAGATTTAATATCACAATAGAATTTAGAATTTTAATATGCTGTAGCAGTGATCAATAATTACTACTATCATCTGTTGTTGTGAGTGAGATAAAAGACGATTTACGCGTCGAAGGATTATGAGAGTATATGATCTCGCTATAGCATTATCCTTTTATATACCATAAATACCAAGACGCGCGTTAGGTTGCAGACTATCGATAATTCACATTAGGGCGAAATGTCACTATAACTGCTTCCACAATATCTTTTAATAGAAATATACTCGATATTTGCTATAAAATTATCTAACTGCACTATTCGATGCTTAATAATGTATTTTGGTTGTACGATATTAACATCTAGATTGTTGCAATATCTGATAAATATGACAGTAAAAAAAAAAGAAATATTCAATGTGTGAGAAGCATTAGAATAGAGAAGTTGATTGTAGAATAAGATATACCATATAAATGTTATCTTAGCGCGCAAATTATTTAGGTCACTAACGAACTTAGATTGGCATACAAAATTATGTAATTGCTAAAAAAATAATAAAAAGATATATTAGAAATTAATGTAGAAAAGGCATGAAAATAATGGAAATAATAAAAAATAGCAAATTAAGTTATAATAATAATATACTAATAATTAACTTATAACAACTTAAAATTTATTTATATATCGCATATATACACAACGAGAACATTAAAAAATTAAACTTTGACAGCCTTTACTTGGTTTTGCATCTGTGGTCTGCGATTAACACTATAACTCTCGCCGTACACCCCTTTATCACCCCTTGATCGCCCCTTATCCACGTGTGTTATTCATTATCATTGACCCAGATTCCATTCTGAAACATCAAGAAGTGCAAGCAGCGTTTTCTATTTTTGCTCTGGATAAAGAATGCGCGCACAAATTGCAACTAAATAAAAACAATTACGGCTAATATTCTTCACAATATATACCATTTCGCATACACTCGTGCTGCTACATAACGCAATATTATTATTACAAAAATCCAGTATTGTCCGACAAAAGAGAAATTCAATTGCGTGATGGTTTGAGATTTCCATTTTACTTCAAATCTCTCTAATCGAAAATCTTTCATTTTATTTTATTTTGATAACTTGATAACCTGAATACTTTAAAGGCGCGACAGTTTTAAGAAAAAAAACTGAAAAGTGTGCAATGTAAGATCTGCAATGACTCAAAATTTCAGTGATCTTAAGAGGCGAGTTTCTTGATTTATTTGCAGTTAACAGCTCTCTTGAGATTAATACTAATGCCACAGAGTGTAAAATTGCCCTATAACGGTGATCGATGCTTGCTTGGCTACTCATATATCTTGATATCTCGAAAGCTCCGTAATTTGTTGTGGCCCAATTGTACAATTTACGTCGAATATTCGATCATAAGACGGATCATGTGCATCACAGCAGTTCTGGATGCAATTGAGACATTTTGTTTAATTAACGCGAAGAAAAGAGATTGGAAAAATATACTTGAAGAAATCAAAATTTCTTTGAATATTATTATTAAACACTAGTTATTTATATACTCATTGTCAGTTTATATTTTTAGTAATATTATTATATTATAATGATATTTTAAATATCTAATTTGAAAAAGTCTCAGCGTTGCAAAGAGGAATGATTGAAAAAAATTCCAGATTAAAAGATTAATTCTAAATATATCGATAAGATAAAAAATTTTATATAAATTATCTTAGTGTCAGATTAGATTAGATTAGATATTTAGATTATCAATGTAGAGATTATCACATTTTGAAAATAATAAAGGAACAAAAAAAGTAATATTAAAGATAAAAAAGAATCAATAACTTATACGTTACATGTTACATCTAAAAAAGGTATAAAATTTTTAGGCCACAATGTAGCGGTAAAAGATTACATCTAAACAACAATGCTTGTGCGGTATTGTTTGTGTTGAGTTTTAAAATTGAATGATGCAATTGAATGATTGCAGTTGCATATGCTTTTTTTGCGAGTAATAATTAAATTTATCTAATCTTATCTATGAAAGATTTGCTTTAACGGTTTTTTAATAACAATGATAAGAATCAGAGACGCGGCTAATCAAAATCTAACGATGAGTTCTCTTGTCACTTTCACAGACATTGCATCGAATTGACTCGATGGTATCGCTTTGTTACCGATCACTTACGAGCTACATCACAGATGATAATCTCGCCGGACTGCAGAATTTTCTCGAGAACAAACGAGTGCAGGTCGATGACAGAGATGAGGTAATTTGTAGATCGTTTTAAAAGATTTCCGAGAAAAATCAGGAATTTCATTTCATTTTCTTTTTTTATCTTTTTTTTTTCTCTTTTAGAAACTTCAGAATAATCAAATTATGCGAGATATATGATATACTATTGATCTTATATAAGATGTAAATAGATGATAAAAATCTTTTTATCATATATTACATAGAAAATTTTAAGGAAATAATAATATAAGTGATATTTATTTACATTAGATAAAACTCCTTTGTAATATCAAATCGCGAATATGCGTGAAAAATAACAGTCATAGAAAAAAAGAGTTTTCCACATATATATTTGTCGTGTTTTTTCTCGTGAACCTTCGAATTTTTTTGATCAATTATTTTCTTATTACAGAATAGTAGTACCGCCCTCATCTTTGCAGCAACCAAAGGGAAAATACACTTCGTCCGAGAACTCATCAATCATGGAGCGGACGTCAATGCTGAAGACGCGGTTGGTAGCTGTTGACGACAACACTTGAATTCATTCAGAATAGATTAAAATTCTAACATGCAATTTTTTGCATAATTTTTTTTCAGGATAATTGGACGGCATTGCTATGCGCGGCGAAGGAAGGCCACACCGAGATCTGTCTCGAGTTGTTGGAGCACGGCGCCGATCTGGAGCATCGAGACATGGTCAGAGGAAGTTGTATATCTTGTTGACCTGGCCTAGTGCCATTAATGTAAATTTATTATTAAAAACCCAAGAAGAACTGTCTTATTTTACATCAGACAAATTAAAACCAAGTCTCTCTTTATTTTATGATTAAAAGTTATTTTCATCAATATAATTTATATCAAAATTTTTTACGTAACGTAATATGTGTTCTAATAGAAACCATATAAATGTCTTTATATAATAAATTATATTTTTATATAATATATAAATAAAAATATTTGACCGAGGACTGTCTTATTATAGGGTGGATGGACGGCGCTTATGTGGGCAACATACAAGGGCAGGTCGGCGACGGTGACGATGCTGCTGGCACGCGGGGCTGACGTCAACGCGCATGGAAATTTTCATATTTCCTCATTATTATGGGCCGCTGGCAGGGGTTATCCTGATATAGTCAAGGATCTCATTGCTCATGGGGCGAAGGTCAATGTCGGCGACAAGGTAATCGTTGGCGAGCCTATCGCAAATCGATGACCATCGCGTTTACTTTCGAGATATGACCTACCCTCATTATTTTTTCAGTATGGCACCACGGCACTCGTGTGGGCTTCGCGCAAGGGAAACGTAGAAATAGTTGATATCCTTCTCAAGGCCGGGGCCAATGTCGACACGGCAGGCATGGTAAGAAATTTAAAAAAAAATGCTAAAATTTTGAAACAATGGACTCTTGTAGGTCAAAATTTTGACACTAAAAGATGCAATAGAAATATTGTGTATATGTATATATAAGACATATAATTAGATCTTACCTTATAGATTTCTCTTTTATTTATAAATTATTTATCATGGATAGAACCTAATATCATAAGATTATTAGATATAATATTTAACATTTCAAAAGACTCTTCGCTTTTAATATTGAAAATTTCTCGATTTATATTTGTTTTTTTTTTAAACAATTTTATTCGTAGTATTCGTGGACCGCCCTGCTTGTAGCAACCCTCGGAAACCACGTGGAAGTGGCGTTGCTACTATTGGAGCACAAGCCCAACGTGAATGCTCTAGATAAGGACGGTTGCACTGCCTTAGCAATAGCCTGCCGAGAAGGTCATCACGAAATAGCGAGCGCCCTTCTAAATTCCGGCGCTTATGTTAATATTCAGGATCGTGCCGGTGACACGAATCTAATCCATGCCGTTAAGGGTGGCCACCGAAGCGTGGTAGAATCGTTGCTGAAAAAATACGCGGACGTCGACATCGCCGGAAAGGTACAACTCGACTTTACTTTTCTTTTTAATTATCGCATATCTTCCTCGAAGATCGATTTGAAAATGTTTTTCATCGAGTAGTGCGATTCCCAAATATTGATTATTCCACAATAAAGTCGGATCGTTGCTTGCATCGAGTACCACATAGTTCCACACGAACGGAATATGCAAAGCTTGGTAAAATAATCAATACCAGAATTCGAATCTCGGTACTATGGATGCTTTAATAAGAGACGATATCGGATCTAGTCTGGTATCCAGTTCGAAAGCCACTTCGAGCTTAGTTCGCGCGTGACTTTTCCGCGGTTAGCTAAAAAAGTTTTATTTAAAATCAAACTAACCACTCCGTCCGTATATATTTTAGGATAAAAAAACCGCAACTTACATAGCAGTAGAGAAAGGCAATGTACCGATACTCAGATTATTATTAAACGCTAACCCAGACCTGGAGATTGCTACGAAAGACGGCGACACGCCTTTATTGAGGGCGGTGAGGTCGCGTAACGCCGAAATCGTGCAATTGCTTTTAGACAAGAAAGCCAAGGTCTCGGCTACCGACAAGAAGGGCGACACTGTACTGCACGTGGCGATGCGCGCGCGATCGAAAGCGATCGTCGAAATACTACTGAGGAATCCAAAGAATAGCCAGTTATTGTACCGTCCAAATAGACAAGGCGAGACCCCCTACAACATCGACGTCAATCATCCCAAGACGATTCTTGGACAGATATTTGGCGCTCGTAAGTTTTAAATCAGACGGCACGCCATCTCCGTTATCCTTCACGATACGTGGAGGAGACATGTTTAATTTTTTCTAACACGATTTGTAGAATAATTAATAATAAATATTATAGGGCGTTTAAATACTAACGAGGATAATGAGAACATGCTTGGTTACGACTTGTACAGCAGCGCACTGGCAGATATCCTCAGTGAACCGTCGCTTTCTACACCGATTACTGTCGGCCTTTATGCAAAATGGGGTTCTGGAAAGTCATTCCTACTGAACAAACTGAAGGGTATCGTCAAATAACTTATAGATTCCAGTGCTATCCTAAAAGGATTTGTTCTGTAGACTAATAAATATTTTTTATGAATTTGGAGTATAAATTTTACCTTTTAGAAAAATTTTAAAAAATTGTAACTTAATCTAAAATAAGATATTAATTTAATAGAAGGCCGTCATCTTCAATTTTTAACGTTATATATTCTGTGCGGCAAATAAAAAATTTCTATTTTTGAACATTAGAATACATGACTGTAGTTTACCAAGCTATGTGAGAAACTTTTATAAATTTAACCACAACGATTATTTTTCACAGAGGAAATGAAAAACTTTGCGAGACAATGGATCGATCCAGTATTCCAATTCTCTTCCCTACTCTTTCTAGTAGTAGCCCACATATCCTTAGTAGTGGGTTTAATCATAGGTCTCACATTACAATCGTGGATCATCGGTCTGTCGTGCGGGATAAGTTTACTATTTATCGTTTATATCTTTCTGCTACTCGTTTGGTATGCCAATAAAAGGTAAGACTTGTGAGAAAAAAACAGCGAACGATAATTTTCCATTCGATATCCTCATCAGAGATGACATTTTAATTGCAGATACGATTGGTACTGGCCGTATAATCTGACAGTGGGGCTCACCACAAAACTGAATGCGCTGAAATTATTATTACAAGTCATCTTTTGTCATCCACCGGGCGGTCAGTGTCACGATAGCATAGCGGTACAACCGATCAAATTTTATTTCACCGATCAGACTCGCGTGGGAACGACCGCCGCCGGCGAGAATGCAGTCGTCCAAATGGTCGGCTCGCTTTACGACTCGATTGAGAACGACTTCGGCTTGCTGTCAACCAGGCTATACAGATCGTTTCGGCCGAAACCGGACAAGTCGACGACCAAATGGAAGTGGAGGCATCTATGTTGTTTGCCGTATATAATCATATTCGAATTCTGCTTTTGCAGCCTGCTTGTCGGTCTCTCAGTGCTCACGGTGTATTTTATAGACATGCCGAGCGACGAGTGAGTAATTATGCACTTGAATGTTTCAAATGAATGTATATACGTCACGGTTGTTTTACATGTTGAATCGTATTTAGGCCCACGATAGATCGAGTCACTGCTCATATCATCATGATCACGATCGGCTTGGTTTTGGCCATCAGTATAATAGCGAATCTGTATACGTGGAGCAGAACGCTAAAGGCATTAGTTTTCTCGCAGAGAAGACACCTTCAGCGTAGCATTTCGAAACTGGAAACTCTAAAAAGCGAAGGATTTATTCAGACTTTGAGAAGCGAAGTCAGTTTAATGACGGAAATGGTAAATTATCTGTCTATTGATGATAATCAGAATTATCTTAGCAGTGTAGTTTTTAATCGTAATCTTTAAATAGGTCAAATGCTTGGATAGTTTCATGGCTCAACAAAGTAGACTAGTCATAATAGTGGATGGTCTGGACAGTTGTGAACAAGATAAAGTTTTACTAGTTTTGGACGCTATACAAGCCTTATTTAGCGATAACGGGTATCCCTTTGTCGTAATATTAGCGATTGATCCACATATTATAGCTAAGGTGAGCAACTAAAAAATTGTATTATCTACTTTAAGACTTCAAGATGAGTGATTCGATAATGATGAAAATTATTCTTCAACACAGGCGGTAGAAGTGAATAGCAGAAGATTATTCTCGGAATCGAATATTGGTGGTCACGATTACTTGCGGAATATGGTGCATCTGCCGTTTTACTTGCAAAATAGCGGCTTACGTAAAGTCAAGGTCGCGCAACAGACTGCTCAATACTGCAAAAAGACGGCGTGGACGGAAGCTGAGGAAAGCGTCAACTATACCGCGACTAGTACCATACATCACTCGGTATCCAATAGAAGACTTAGCTCGGAATCGGCGATAATGAATAGTAACGAGAAGTTGAAACCTCAAACCAGAAAAGGCAGTAGAAAATTACGATTGAGCGAATCGATCGCTAGCAGTATCGGCAGTAATTTAAATCGACTAGGCGGCGCGCAGGATCTTAACAAGATGCTGCTCACCGATGATTACTTCAGCGACGTGAATCCCCGTAGTATGAGAAGATTAATGAATGTTGTTTATGTCACCGGTAATACTGCATCCAGTTGCGCAATATCATATTACACAAGTCTGCGTGATTATTTCGTGTATATATCTTTGTACGTCTTTATTTTCTAGGGCGATTACTCAAAGCATTCCAAATTGACTTCAACTGGTACCATTTAGCTAGTTGGATCAATATTACCGAGCAATGGCCTTTCAGGACATCTTGGCTCATTCTTTATTACGATATGTACGAGGAGAGCCTAGACGACAATATGTCACTAAAAAGTCTTTACGATAAGTACGCGTGAATTATACTCCCTTCTCTTTTGCTTCCCCTTTTTTTAGACGGCATTGCTATGCGCGGCGAAGGAAGGCCACACCGAGATCTGTCTCGAGTTGTTGGAGCACGGCGCCGATCTGGAGCATCGAGACATGGTCAGAGGAAGTTGTATATCTTGTTGACCTGGCCTAGTGCCATTAATGTAAATTTATTATTGAAAACCCAAGAAGAACTGTCTTATTTTACATCAGACAAATTAAAACCAAGTCTCTCTTTATTTTATGATTAAAAGTTATTTTCATCAATATAATTTATATCAAAATTTTTTACGTAACGTAATATGTGTTCTAATAGAAACCATATAAATGTCTTTATATAATAAATTATATTTTTATATAATATATAAATAAAAATATTTGCGCAAATTCCGGTTTTGAAGGAAGTGCAGCCGCTCCTCGAGATGGACAGAGATGAGCGCAAGTTGGACGTCTTTCTCACTTTTCATCGATCCAGTTTGCTCATCAGCGATATGAAGATATTCTTGCCATTTACTATCAACTTGGATCCCTATATCAAGAAGAAGATAAAGGAGGAGCAGCAAAGCATCGAGGAAGACGCGAATCTCTTTAAACAACCTGGTATTTGGCACGGTGTTCCGGCTGAGCAATGGATTCCGCAAAGAGGGATGATGACAAACCGGCATATGAAAATTGTTAAACAATCAAGTATGCAAGGATCCGTACCGCCGACACCATCATGGGCTTACCAGCCCAACTTTGAATGGCAAGCCCCATCGACTTGGATGCAAATGCCACCCATGGAACCAACGCCGAAACCGCTTTCCGTAACAACCACATTATCGGTATAGTTAATCAATTATACAATCATATTTTTTACAACAGAGAAAACGCTGCTTTATTGCTTTGTCTTTATTCATAGTCTGAAATTCTGGAGACGAAACTCTCATCCTTATCAGTGAACGGGGTCTGCGATTTGATCGACAAGATCGATAGTCTTAACTCGACCCAAGCACCGACGTACAAGCAAGTCGTCAAGGAGAACAACATCAACGGCCGAGTTTTATTACATTGCGATTTGCAAGAACTAAAAAAAGTAATCTTTTGTAATGCTGTATCTCTCTATACTTCAAAGAAAAAAAGGAAATTTTACATATAAACATACTTATGTTTCTCTTTAGGTATTTAAAATGACTTTTGGGGATTGGGAATTATTCCGTATGGTAATTGTGTCACTTAGAGAAATGGAACTTTCATCTTTCACGTATGAGGAAGGTTCTCGAAGTGTCCGATTTACTGTAGGATCCGAACAAGTTTTACGCAAAGGTACGCTCGGCATTTATTTTTCTATTCATTTCTTATTTGATTTTCGATCAATAATTTAATTTTGTTTGTTATAGATCACGCTTTACAAAATAATTCGATGCGTATGCCTGCTCACGTAGAGAAAGAGAAAGGAGCATCAAGAACAGACGGACAAGTCCGCCGTGACCAAAATAAACAATCCATCATGGAAAAACAGGTATGCTGAAGGTATTATAAAATCTATTAAAAATATTATTGATACAATTATATTAATATATAATATATGTATTTATTTACATTGGTTTATAAATAAATTAATGAAACTTTATATTATAACTAATATTCTGTAAAAATTAATATCGTAATTCTCTTGTTTACTTACATTTGCGCTCGGTATATTAGTTCCAGGTAAGAGTTTGTTGCTAGATTATTTCAAGAAACATAATTTCGCAAATTTTAATAATTTTATTTTAGTATCTGCTTATATACATGATGCTTATATACAAGATGTGATGCTTGAAAACCTGCTTTAAAATGCGTATACACATTTCAGGTAACATTAGAGGAGCAAATGATTTGTGGAGCACTGCAGACCTTGAACGAAGAAGCTTGCGAGGATGTATTAGATGTGCCATCATCGACGGTGGCACCAACGACAGACTCACTTTCTTCAGGTGAGCCTCCTTCCCTTCCACTTACACTGCCTGTCGTCATAGTGCAAGAACCACCGCAGTCCGATCAAAACAGTGATATCTCCGTTGAGTACAGTGCTAACTATTAGCCTGTCGAGTTTGAGATTAGGACACAATGATGATGTATTCGCCTAATAAATCGTTCGCGTTGCACATCGCGGAAAAGAGCATTTTTCGGTATAACTTGTGCATCGAAAAATACAACGACCTATCATCGTTATCATTGCATTCGAGAACAGTATTTGCCAATTTATGATGTTAAAAAAAGAAAGATATCGAGGATACTTATTGTCCCATTACAGCCTCAAAGTACATCTGTATATATGCGTATTCTGACAGAATATATTACTTAACAGTATTACTAACAAAAGATTACGTATATAATGGCAGTCAAAATTACGATACATAACGATTAAAAAAATATAATATTATGTAAGATTTCTTTATAAGTTAGCCAAGAGAGACTATCATTTTCATTTACAAAAATGATAATTTCTTTCATCTAGAAAAATGAAAAAAATTATCTTCTCTGAAAAAAGGAATATGTATAAGAATATTTCTTAAAGTTGTCACATGTGCCAATGCGAGAAAACAAATAATTATACATATCGTGCGACGAAGGTATCCAAAATGAAAGCTATTTAATAATAGAGATAGGATCATTATTGTATGCGTATTCTCGTAGAATTAGCGTAATGTAATGCTCATTTTATAAGTTTAGTTTAATGTCGATGTATATTAGTGCCATATAAGGAAGAACCAGAGGATTGCATTATACATAAAAAGCTTTGAAATTGTGCAGTGTTAAAACATCCAATGCATCAATCGATTGTTCTAAGGAAGAGGCTTTCACCAATCAATAACGCAAAATATTTTATTGCATTTGTAAGCATATGATATAAAAAAAAGTAAAAATGTCAGAAATGTCGCTACTCTTAAAATTGTTCCATGTTTTCTGTGAAGAATGCCTGTATAAAAGACTGTGATAAATTACGTGTTATTACTATTGACAGAACGAATATTTCTTGTGAAAAATGTTTATGCTAATCGTCAGATACAAGTTATATATTTTTAAAACAATTATATGTGTAAGGTAATCGTTTGGGCGATAATTGAAAATATTGCGTCCATATTATTCCGGTCCACATTATACTTCCTGTATTATGAATACACACTACGAATATTATTATTAGATTGTTAGTACTATGTTATATGAGCAGTATTATGTTATTACAAGAGGAAGTGGCAATAAAATTTTTTTGCAAACCCTCCACATCTGACATCTTCTTTGCAGTTTATATCTAGGAAGCCTTCAATCGAATTCTCAATCATAAACAGAGCACTATTTCAAAGAATAAAGATTAACATTAAAGGATTAAATTGGAATTAAGACAAATATCTTTTTTTCATCAACAGCTTGACACATTTCTATATGAAATCTTTCTCAAATTCATACATTTTTTCAAAGATAAATTTGTTAAATATCTCACAGTAACTAACTATGCAAAAAGTTCATGAAAAAGTTTTGTAAGAGAGAATATATATATATAATCGATTATACAGTACGATAATTACACAGTATGAAACAGATATGATATGAGCTTCTGTTTTAGGACCCGTTGCCACCTCGATTCCCGACACGGACTACGTACTGCTTCAAGCCAGTCCGCTGTTTCGCTGGGCGCCAATTAACGATGAAGCGGCCAGTTCGGACGACAGCTCACACGACTCTACCGTATTTCTTCAACGTACGAATTCTCAGCGCAGCATCGCGTCCCAACACAGCACGAGATCCGCCTGTTCACACAAGCCCCCGAAGAAGACTGGCAGCAACATCAGCATTGCCAGACCATCCTCACTGTTTATCTCTCCGCCGCCGTCGCCGAAACCCGCATTTAGATCCAAGTCGACTGACGATAGATATATGGGAAACAACATACCCCTGAAGACTACGTCGTCGATACCTACTACGAAGAGACGTTCGATCTCGACATTGAACGACGAGATAATGATAACGGTACCCACTTCCAGCATGGAGAAGCTGTCGAAGCTCAAGGACCGCCTGATCGGCACCGCGCCAACGGAATCGTCTCTGATAACTGGTGTCGAAAGCGATGATGAGTCCACACCGCTCGTATCTGAGCTGTCCACGCCGACGCACTCGCAATCGGATAGCGTTTTCAGACACAGCGCGGAGACCAACAGTTCGCCATCGTCCAACAGGAGTCTACCGCGGGATAGGGAACGTTGCGTAAATATAGATTATTCCGACACTGCGAGTCTCGTGATACAAGAGTCCTCGAACGATCCGCAATCGCCACCCCGTCAGAATACCAATGCGATATGGGACAATCCGGAAACGCCTGTCTGATATCTGACTTTAGGACATACTCTAAAGCGTAATAACTCGCGGTACACATTCGACTGATGTACAAAATCTGAAGATGAAAGGATGACTAGTGTCTGCCAGAAAGGCCTATATGCGATATGTATTAATGTTTTAACAAGTAGATAAGTGTAATCGAGATAAGATACCGATTTTTCGCGTGTAAATAGCGAATAGACAATGTACGGAAGCTTTTTCTAGAGATAAAGCGATTAAAAACGTGTTCATCTGCTTAGTGGAGCTGACGAGTAAATGCCTTTTTGCGCATATTGTGCAATAATCCTTAGTTTAGCGAAACGAGTTTTAAGACTCGTAGGATGCCGAAACGACATTCCATATATAAATATTAATGCATTTACAAGTGCAAATATTCATCAATATTTTTCTTTTTACTACTGAAATGTAAAAAGAAAAAACAAGAAACTCTTCCCAATATAGTGTGCAAATATCCTGTACCCAATAATCGATATACGTCAATTCGTAATGCCAGTGCAAATAGATAAATTAAAAGGTAATAAATAATGTTGAAGAGAATATTTTAAAGAAGAGATAATCCGAATGACCAATAAATATATTACCTATTAGATTGTCTATTAAACTATATCTATACTTAGTACAATTTATAGAAGCTTTTTTTATCTAATATAATTCTATTGAATAAATATAGAATGTCTCAAAAATAACTTATATATATGGCGATTTGCCTACATCGCTTTATATCCACTTTCATTTTTTTATATATAAAGAATTTAAATATTATAGTATACACAGACATTTAATCACAAGATGTATTCATTTTAGCACTCCTCTGTTTATTGATGATATTTCTTTTCTCATTGAGACTAATGATTATTATAATCACAGAAGAAAAAGAGAGAGAAAGAGAAACGCAAAAAAATTTATTATAATGATATGTTTGTTTTATTAAAAAGCGAAAATTATAATTACATAACATTAAGTATATAGGACATTTTAGGACGGAATACATCAGGGTATCGATAACTCAATACAATACTGTAAATATAAAAATGTATATATGGATATATTAGCTTTGAAATTATAGTATATATATATATATATGTATCGCTCACATTTCTCGACATTAAATAAAATTTAATAAAATACATATTCTCTCAATCAAGTATGATATGCAATAATGTTAAATATTGTATACTAAATACAATGTTTAGATTTATATAGTTTTTAGTTTACGTAATGTAAAAGAGAATCAATTAAAAAGGACAGCTGCTTCCTTTCTCTATAGCATAATAAACATTCAAATGCTAATTAAGTATACCGATGGTCCCGCTTGTAATTAAATGCATTGTTTGTATTAAATACTGCGTCATATCACTTCGATGCGGCAATTATAACGTTATTACACGCGGGGCAATGGAATGCTATAATCATACAAGGTTGAACTGAAACATCCTGTATATATATGTTTATATTTAATAACGACATACTGTTTTGTGATATATCTATCATAATTTGTATCAAAATTATGGCATGAGAGAAGAATATATAAATCAAAAAGGAACAAATAAAAACATATATCTCAGGAGAATATAATATACTCTGCTATATATACATAAAAATTCAATTTTAATTTCATAGACATGGAATATTAAAAACGAATATATATATATATATATATA